ATTCTCTCTCTCTCTCTCTCTCTCTCTCTCTCTCTCTCTCTCTCTCTCTCTCTTTTTTGCATTTTGGGTCCTGATTTTAACTCACCTGCTTCCATCACTGGGGGGCTCGTTATGACAGTGAAATAAACTCCCCATAAGGGGATGAGCCCTATGCCACTGTACCGTGAACTGCCCATTCTACGCTATAGTCTTCCCTCTTCTGCAAAATAACTCACTTACATGATTGAGATTAATTTAATCTTTCATGAAAGAGAAAATTAAATTTTAAAAAGCAGCAGTCAGGAGTGGTGGTGCACACCTGTAATCACAGCTCTCTGGAAGGCTGAGGCAGGACAACGCCTCACCTCATAGTTGCCAGCCTGGGTAACTTAGCAATTAAGAGAGACCCTGTCTTGAAATAAAAAAAAAATTTAAAAAGGGCTGGAGAATGGAGTTCAGTGCAGAGGCCCTAGGTTTGAACCCCAATACCACAAAAACAAATAAATAAATAATAAATGCTTAGGCCAATTACAGTGCTATTAGGAATGACTTTCATTTACTTAGAGCATCTTTTTAGTAATGGTTACTATAAAACTGTAAAATTCTAACAATGACATTAAGACCTTTTAAAAATGGAGAAATATGCCTGTTGTGCAGATTTAGGGATGGTTTTTGTTAGTATTCACCATCTAGAGTGAATTTTTATTTAATGATAAAAATAATTTCTATAATTCTCTAATTGTCAAATGTGCCTCATTTAAAATTATGCATGGTAATTCTTCAGAATTATCCTAATCGTTTCATTTATCTTTTTAATGCATGCTGTCAACCATATGACCAATCAAAATTTAAAAAGTACATTTTCAATAATATAGAAGTCATGTGATTTATCTTTACTACCCTTAAATTTAATTTCTCTATTATTCTGTGTGTAATGTATATAAATTTAATGGTGACATCTTCATTATTCAAGTTTAGTTATCTCTGAATTTGGATACGTTTTAAGACCATTATTTCAGTTGTGATAGGAGGATTTGATAACAATTATTACAAGCTACTCAACAATCAAGGCTTTTGCATATTTTTTAAAAGTCAAAGTACTCCTGAATAATTAATTATATAAACAAGTAACTATATGAAATATATGTTTAAATCTACACACAAATGAATTATAAACATAATACATACAATATGTTACTAAATCTTAAATATAAGATTATGTTTAGATTTTACTTTTTCAGATAACTTTTAACTTATTTTGAACTAAAAAGTTTTGTGATGTAATTTAAATTTATTACTATAAAACCCTATAGTTGAACTATAGTTGAAATATTTAAGGAAGTTTGGAATCCTTTCATGTTCTTTACCTTCAAGATAAGAAAGGTTATTATTTGCACATGATAACATAT